TCGATCAAGTTAATATAACACACTGATGAAGAAAAAAAGAATGATGAAATGAGTGACACAAGTGATCGATATGTTGTAATAGCAATAATAATGAGAAAAACTAAAGATACTGAGAATGTGGTTTAAAAAGATAAAATGAAAAGATCTGTATGAAGGAATATTGAAATTCATGATGTATACGAAAATAAACAGTGGATGCACATCTTTATCATTATGATCTATTCTGAGTCATGTTATCCGACATCTCCAATCAATGATTGTCGTTATCAACCCGACGTCAATCAGTGTTACTTTATCAACATGCCTCAGATCACTAGTTAATGAGTTCATGAGCGACTATCAATAACTGGAATATATCACAACATCATGTGTAATCCACATATATTTATTGTAGTTGGCCCCCAAATGCCATGGTATGGCCGAGAGTGGGGTGGGTTCGCCCTCCCTCTCGAAATACTCTCACACGGCCACGCGTATACAGCCTCCGTCAGGGGAGTCCTACTCACTGCCTTCTCACACCAGGAGTGTTGTTTACGAAAATGAGAGGATGAAAATCGAATGTCCGGAGCTTTAACCGGATCTCAAACCAATGGTGCACATAGGCTCCAGTATCCTGAGGGAACAAATGGCGTATGAACCAATTGTTGGTCACCGGCTACCATGGGACTGCATATCCTCACGATGCCCCACTGCCTTGTGGATCAGACCTTTAATCAAAGGCTCGGGGTGTGGCTACCTAAGAAAACCACCTGCTTCGTTCTGGTCACCCGGGCAGTATCACAGCCCACACACACAAATATGGTATGGCGCATATATATTTGGTGCCCTCTCGTAACAATATTTATGTGTTGAAATAAATAAAAGATTACTTTCACCCTCGCAACAATAATGAAATCCAGAGGATATATATATATTTATACGCACATCTTTTGATGTTTATCGACTGTTTGAAATTGTTCCATCGATCATAATATAAATCAATAATATGTATTAAAAAAACTTGTTTCTAAACTAATTAATAAGCGAATAGTGAAATCAGCTGATTGTAAATATATTGAACTGCAACAGAGAAAACGATCTTTTGCGTAATCAATTGAACATACACACAGCTTTTGTATTGATTGGTTCACTTGAAGTATTGACAAAAAATATTGACCAGTGGATTTTTTTTGTTGACCAAGAAACCGGTTCAGCAACAAATATATATGAATGAATGTGATTTGGTTTAGCCCACCTAATTAGCACTTCTTTATTTTTAGTCTTCTCATACAGAAGAGTAGCCTATTAGGAATTCGCATACATAATGTTTGTGTGTATCATTCTCGAACACTGCACATCATAACACTTGTCTGCAGATTAGATAGATGCTTTTGGTTTTAATGTTTTCTCTGAGCTAAATTGTTAAGTGTTTCAGTGTCGTAAGGGATGACAGACACATTAATTATCACTTGGTTCATGTAGAAGGGTGTTCTTCAGTTAGTCAGTCATAAAGTAGAACCTGACACGTATGTACTCCAGGTCAAGTTCACACACACCATTAGCACAGATAAATGAAATTGCCTGATCAAGCCTCAGAATAGTGGAGATAGTAACAGTATTAATGGTAGTAGAAAACATTAGACATCGAAGATACGATTCGAGAAGAAAATCTAAATTAGGAAAATAGGAACCAAAACATTGTGAGGAAGTTAGGAACTCAGAATTTAGAGACAGACAAAGAATGGATGCACATGCAACATCGCAAACAATTTCAAGCAATGTCATGTAAAGTTTCTAACCATTAGTTATGCCAATCACGCGGACCCGAATCAGGTAATCTACACCTATTGTCAATGACTTCATGAACTGATAGGATGTCTAGGTTTGTCCATCGCTGTGTTTCTTTCAGCACCAGAGAACACAATCCGTCGAGGCATGCGGTGGTTGGACGTGTGTAATACATGTCCTAACCAGCTTAATCCATAAGAGTTGAATTGATTTGCTTTAATGAACTTATTTGTGGTTGGTTAGCTCTGTACATTTCCCTTACATGCGTCATCAGAACACATAGATTCAGTACTTACACTTTTTCATAGAGTAGGTGTTGGTGATTTGTTGCGTAGGAAAACGGTGGGCACTTTGAAATGAACTCATTCAGCTCAAGCAAAACAGAATTAATGTGTATAATGACTTGGTAACATTGGTCAATCTATTTGCACTATGATAATTGGAAGTGAATGATGAATATGCTTTGATCGTTTAATACGCATCTGATCTAGAATCTTTGGTGAATCGAATTACCTATCGAGTGATGTAAGCTTATATGCAGTGCGGTATATTAGTTCTGTAGGGATTACGTATGCATTTTGTTGATAAAGTACCAACTAACATTCAAATCATAATAATCTTTTTTACACCGACGTTTTAGAGTGTAGTAGCGACTACCTAAAGGAAACTAGAGCTTATGAAGGATGTACATATTTGACTTCTACACATCATATTTGTTATATATTTCGTTAGATTCTTTGATTAAAATGTTTCCTCTCAATCTTTATTCTTATTCCAGTCAATCATCGCATTACAACACAAAAATGGTAATTTGGAACAAGCTGCTGACTGGGCATTGAGTAATCCAGATGAATTAGAAACTTTATTACTTCAATCTGAAATAGCTATGACTAATAAATCTTCCACTGATGCTGAGAACAATTCAAATCAGACATCTTCATCAGGTCCACCGTTATCAGATGGTAGTTCAAAGTATGAATTATTTGCTTTTATTAGTCACATGGGAAAATCGACCAATGTAAGAAAATTAATTACATTCAAATGTGTATACTTACAAAATGATGTTTCGTTTGTTTAAAATCCCTTAGTTTGTGTTTGATTTTTCTCTAACTTGCATTATAGTAAGTTGTGTGTTAATCTTTATAGTTTGTAGTCCACATAACTCAACATATGTATAAAATAACAAGTTTCTCTTGTAGTAACTAACTAATCCTGTAGCTAAATTGTTTTCATCGCTTCCCAAAATGGCAACACAGATCCCTCAGTAGTGCCATCTTAAACTGTGAAGGTAGTTGACGTAGGTTTAAATTCCACGGTGTGTATTCAGGACGTAGCCTAGGTTCACGATTCCCTGCAGACTACCTATTCTAAAAAAAAGTGGAGATTAGCATTTTGTTGATGAGCTAGTGAATCTTCATCGATCGAGATGTTCAGGTCATATATTACACATATTCAAACCCTGCTTACCTCACCGGAGGTCATTTTTCCCTGGTAAACGAGTAGGGGAAGCTAAATGTAAACATGGCATCAGTTCATAAAGTGATTGCTTGTTTTATTGAGCCATGTTGGTAGGTACAGTCTACCAGGTTGATGTCATTGTAATTATCACTATCAGTTGTCCAGAATTGGTCGCATTAGGTTAGATTTATTCTCTCTTTGTCTCCCAGTAACTCTTGACTTTTAAAATTAATTTATACCAATTTATTCCTGAAATCATATTATCGGTGCTTAATATCCACTAAAGTGTCATATATGTCTACTTCTGTGAGATTTATCTCGTTGTACGAAAGCTATGTAACTACTGGCACCGATACATGTTTGTACCAGATTCTACTTTTCTTATAACTAATTGGCTGATCTCGCTTCAAAGCAATGGTTACTGTCCACATTTATTTGTATGGATTAGTAAAGTAAAGAGACTCTTCTCATGGACACAAGTTTGCTCTTTTTTAGTCAATGTATGCAGAAACTGTGTATTCAAATACTTGTTGAAAAAAAATTCGCTCGACGGGTATTATGTGAACTATATATATATCCCAGAAAAATTGTACTTAATATACTAAATATGATTGAGCGACTTAGCTATCTTTGAAATATGGTTAATATCTGGCAAAAGAGTATACATCCCTAATAAACTATATTGTTGACTTGAACTAACAAAGTTTTATTTAGCCTGTTTTTATTATGAGGTATTCAAATTTATACATATAACATACACATCTTCACTTTTTTTGTTTGTTTTGTTTTGCACAGGATGGTCATTATGTAGCTCATATTAAACGATCGTTTCTAGCTAAATGTATTCCTCATGAACCGCCAGTATATCATGTCGGCTCACCAATTTGTGGCGGTTCCGATCAAGAATGGATTATATTCAATGATGAAAAAGTGGCAAAAAGTGAATGCCCACCACATCGTCATGCTTATTTATATTTCTTTCGAAGATTAGATGCTGCTGATCAATCTGATTAACTCTAATTATGTATGTGTGTGTGTCCTCGAGTGGTATGGTTTATGAGGTCATTTAAACAGCTTAGTGTTAAACAATGATAGATTCATTGTTTTATTTTCTCTTTCATTCTCTCCGCCTATCTTCCATTCTTATTTTAAACTGCACCTCAGAAATTCATTAAGTTGTACACATTATAAATTTAGAAAACCTACTCTTGTGTGTATGTGTACATGTAGAAACGATAAATCGCTGTTGGTTTTTCTCTTTTTCCTTCATGTTAGTAAAGTACAATAAACAATTCAAAAGTATAACATATTAGTTTTCTGCATTCCCTAATTACATTTATACGTTCATTTATTATTATCTCTCATCTTCTAAATAAGTCTTGAGTTTATGTATCGTAAAAAAAAAAATACAAACACTAAGCCAGATATATATGGATATAAATAATGAATATATTATTAATCAAATTAAACTTGGTAACAAAAAGGAAAGTATATAACATAGAGACAGACACACACACTCGCGCACATACACACAAACAAACATATACAAATACTACCTCTTTTCGGTTTATAAATTCCATACATAAACGAATAAATGATGTTTGTTTTTTTTTCATTTAATAATTATTTTAAAAGAGAAAACACAATGAATGAAACAATTTACATCATAGAAAATGTGGTAATCTATCTCTATTTAATAAATAAAAATGTATTATCCATGTTTTGATCAATTTTGTTTTCAATTATATATGACTTACTCGTTGTTAATGTCTATAATGTTATATAATCTTGAAAAAGATATCATAAATAATAAAAGTAAACGTGTTTTTTTTTAAAGTAATACAGTTTTGTTTTTTTTTAATACTTTGTTTAATGCTTGATTGATTTGTGTCCATGTATTGTTACTTTGATTACTATTATTCTGTGTCTTATGATCATTTAGATTAGAATCCTAAAGTAATTAATACAATTAAACGATTAGATTATGTTATTGTGAAATCTTAGTGAAAATACTGAATAGATCAGTATCAATTAATGCAGACAATCAATAGTTGATTAATCTCTAAGAGGTAATCAATGTCGTATCTTTTTTTTTTAAATCCTATCAACTAAGTTGAAATTTGGACACTAATTTAAATGATATAAATAAATGTATGCATAGAAAAGTCCTGCTTCATCTATCTAGGCTTCGTGATAATTGGTACTCTTCCATAAGATATACTTGAAATCTCGAGGGAATTAATACCATCTGTGAAATTCACTCATTTTGGGATGTGATTATTGGACTGTTCGGGCTGCCACTGATTTTTTGTATGATTGAGATATTTACATTGATTAATGATTGTGTAACAGCTTATTTCATGTTTGTCTCGTCCTTTTTTTATTGCTAATCAAACTGTATTGATCAAGCTTTTATTTAGACATGAGTTGAAGTGACTTTTCAAAGCATTCATACTTTTTTTAATATCACTTAGTGTTTGGAGGCAATCGGCAAGAAAATAAATCGAAATTTCTTACTCATTGGTACTCATCAGTAAGGTAATCTCAGCTTCAGTAGACTGTTACCCTCTGGTACTGTCACTATGAAATTGGTGTTTTCAAGTTTACGTTACCCAATTGTTTTATATTGGATATCATCCATGTTATTTTATAAATAATCCGTAAATGAAGATTGATTTGATCATTTATTCTAAAGATATAATTTAAGCAGTATCATTTTAAGTTAGGCTTTTAGAATTTGTTTTTTTACGATAAGAAATGCATCATCTATAGTCGAATGTAATAATAATTACGGCTGGCTGGTAACTAATTTCGAGAGGTTGTTCTTGGAGCTCTACTAAGAATCTAGAGGTAAGAGTTCATCTTTGTCTATCTGAGGTAGTTACCCGCTAATGACATTGGGATAATGTTGCTCAATACTTCAAATTAACTGAAGTTATAAATGAAAACTTTTTAATATTGACTCAGGGATTTAAATGTCAAGCACTTGTTGAGAGGTTCCTAAAAGTCTTTGCTTCGATTCCGAATGAGATCTTGGATACGCGCTGTTTATGAGGTTTTCCATACTAGAACAAAACAAATGTTGATTGCTTCCTGGCTTTCAGTGGTTTTCTAAAGAAGATTGGTCTGTAATATAAAGAATGATAGTGTGAATTAGTCAGTCATATGCGTTTTTCTCTTAATTCAGTAGCGATAATCACTTCAAATCTTACTGTTATTATAATTCTTAAGATTAAATATGCAGTGGTAATTCATGAAATTTAGCAGTTCTTTAGATAATTTGTTCTAATTTATTTGGTAATCGGAATGGTATTTTGTATCAAGTAGACGAGATGATACGACTTGCTCGTCGTATTTATCTAATTCGACAACTTTTATAACTAATATATAAGAATGGGTTTTGTGGAGATTTTAGAAATCTCAATTGTTGAAATCATGAGTCAATTGAAGCTAGACCACAATGGGAAACCTGGAAGCACTGGACGGCCGTTTCAGCAGCTCGCATCCACGATCCCGCACCCCGCGGGATTCGAACCCAGGACCTACTGGTTTCGCGCGCGAGCACTTAACCACTAGACCACTGGGCCGGCATCCAACGGTGTTAATGTCTAACTTCAATTAATCCACGAAGTTGCGCCACCGACCACTATTGTCTTCAGCGAGCTGATATCTGGATGCGCACTGCTGAGGAGTCCCATACCAGGACGAAACGGCCGTCCAGTGCTTCCAGGTTTTCCATGGTGGTCTAGCTTCAATTGACTAATATATAATAGCAGAACGGAAAGCGTTTACAAATCACCAAATCTGACGACTCTTTTTGTAGGTATTATTACCAAGGTTTTACTTGTTAATTTCAGACAAATCGAGCATTGGGTAGATTGTTATAAATAAAAATAATATATTTTTAATATTTCAATGAATAGAAATTTACGACTAGATCACCGAATGCCTAGACTGAATATTATAAACCTCTTACCCCCTTCCTTTATTCTTATTTACTTAATTTTTTCTCCTTATTATCATTATTTCTGATTATCTCTATCTTAATCTTCACATCAATCATTCCCAATTCGTTGATCGTAATTACCTTGATAACACCCTCCTTATTACATATTACATTTACACAACAATCTTATTATTATTATTATTATTATTATTATCTCAATTGACAAGATTAAATTCCCCTACTATGCATTTTATTCACACAATTTTTTGCATTTTCATTTTTGCTATAATACTATTATACTTATTGTGACTGAACACTTTACTCCAAGTCATCCTGACCTTTATTGAATGACCTTTCTGATTTGCAAATAATACAATCAGAATGGGTTTTGTGGAGATTTTAGAAATTTCACAGATTGAAATCATGAGTTCAATCTGTGAAATAATACAATTTTGAAGTATATACATATATCGTAACAGATGCAAGCGTTTACCATTTTCAACACAACATTGTCAAATTCATTCATATATGCCTTATTTTTGGCCTTTGTAAAATTATTATAATTATGGACTTATAACTGTAGAGCCTGATGATGAAGTTATTGAAAACAATTGTTCGCTCAAATATTCTTCATTTTTAAATGTAAATAATATCAGACATAATAGTTTGGATTGATAGTTCAAGTCGGATGTATAGTATGGCCTTGTTTTCTATTGAGAACAGTTGGATTAAGCATTATATGAAAAGCTTCAGTTACTCTCCTTTCTTTATAATTGGGAAAGTCTTTTTGTAATATGTTGATATCGATTTAGTGGTTGTTGAAAATGGCATGAACTGCTACAGCCGATTTAATTGAATTCTATGCAGTTATACGGGATTATTAGGTAGTTTCTTTGTGTATCCAAGATGTTCTTTAGCTCGAGTCAAGGTTTCGCGAGATGATTCTTCAATATAGATGGCATCACAATCGACACATCCTAATTTTTAGACACAGTTCTGTGTTGACATAAAGGGGATTTTTCCTTTCAAGCGAACTAAAGTATTTCGAAATGTCTTCGTTGTTTTGTAATATACTTCGGTTTAACCAGCCAAATAACATCACTAGCTCTCATATGAACATTATGTGGCTCATAGTCTGGAGTATACAAATGTTCACTTATTAAATCAGTTATAGAAAGCAATCTAACAAATTGTATAGTTGAGTGATTTAGTCACAAAATTTAATTGTATTTTCAGCCTAATACCACTACTTTATCCCACACATATGAGTTTATCTTCCATGCCTACTTACAAGTGCTAGTAATGCTCTGTAGCTTGTTCAGTAAGTAGAACGTATACAATATGTACGTTAGTTCTTGGTTTTTGTGGGAATTTTGTATCATTTTGGTAGTTATCATCATCGCGATATGGGCTATCACTTGGAGAAAATGGATAAATAATTTGCAGTAGTATTAAGAATACCAATCATTAAACCTATCTTGTTTTCATTTACATTTAAAGATGTCATGACTGTTGTTCTAACCAGATTGCTAACTACCATCTCAACATAGTGCACATGACGTCAAGTTATTCAGAATAATGCCTACATAATTATTTGATTGATACAATTCAATCAACATCATGAAAGTAGACAAATATAATATTAATCGCTATTCAGTAATCAATTAGTTCTCCCTACATACAGTCAATCACAGTTCGAATGACTCAATAGCAATCCCTCAAACTGTTAAGCTGGATTTAAATCCTACAGGGATTATCTGTATATTCAAGTTTTCAGGTACGCCTTTTTAAGGAGTATCAACCAACTCAGAAAACTAGGTTTATGGTTTCCTCCTAGCTAGACTTTGTTCGACTGTTACTGTCGAATGACTAAGCAATTATATAACACTTTTCACTACAGTCTAAGTAATCAGTCATTAGTTGTCAGTGTCTTATGAACCATTCATGTTGATTTCATAAAATCCTGTTGGTTTCATAATAAACAAGATTAATTTGCCCATGATTATCTTCTGACAGCATCATTTGACCATATATTTACTAGAAATTTGATTTATTTATTTGTTATAGAATGGCTGAAAAGGCCGACGATTTATACTTGCCAATGCAGTACTTCTTCGAATTATCCGTGAATCAGTAAGTGTTTGATTATATGTATCTGTGTGTGCTTCCAAGTGTTGTATTGAATTTTGTCTTGCCTTACTGAATATATTGAGAAACCTTCCGAAAAATATTTTTTTTTGTACAGAATTCGATGGCTAGATTAGGCTTTTCGAATATTTTCTTTAGCTTTTAACTGCAGTAGGATAAAGAGTAAATATTTTAAACTATTCGTAATCATTACTTTACTAATGAGATTTTCTAAATGCAAACTGATTACATTTGCTAATCGTTGTATACTACCGAAAACTGTTTTACCTAACTCTTAGTTTTTGTATATAAATCTAAAATTCGATCAAGATAGATGAGAAAGTTTTACACTAGGTGAATGCTAACGTAACTAACTTGGTATTGTAGATTGGAATCTTTCTGACAGAACTGACTACAGTGACTAACTAGTGTAACCCCATATCTGTCAATTATCATAGCTGTGAAGATCATTTATATACTATCTTTGATTTAGAGTTGAAAGTACGTAACGAAATAATAATAATTTAGGTGGAATGAATCCATTCTCTGTCAACTTCCTCCTAGAACATTGGGACTTGCATTTAAACCTAGTATATAAAAATTGAATTTTCATTCATCCCTGGATTAATGAAGAAATAATTAAATATATGTGTTATGACGAAATGTTAGACGCTAGTTAGTCCTAGACATAAAGATATTCGTCTTTATTTAGAGCTCAACAACAATCCACACTTACGAATTCCAACCGAGTCGAACTAAAGATACTTAGATCTCTCTCCGGTAGGACAAAGTGTCCTTAGGTTCTTTCCAACTTTGATATGCCAATTTATACTATTCAGCGCGATCATTATCCAATAATATTATTGAGTAATCACTGGCTCACTCCAAATACACCTTAAAACTAAAAAAACAATCTCTTTAAAGTGATTCACAAATTTTATTAACTGTCCTGACTTATTTATTTATTTATTTTAACAAATAAATATTGGTACAAGAGGGCACCAAATATATATGCACCACACCATATTTGTGTGTATGTGTGCTGTGATACTGCCCAGGTGCCCAGAACGAAGCAGGTGGTTTTCTTAGGGGGCCACACCCCGAGCCTTTGACCTAAAGGTCTGATCCACAAGGCAGTGGGGCATCGTGAGGATATGCAGTCCCATGGTAACCGGTGACCAACAATTGGTTCATACGCCATTTGTTCCCTCAGGATCCTGGAGCCATGTGCACCATTGGTTTGTGATCCGGTTAAAGCTCCGGACATTCGATTTCATCCTCTCATTTTCGTAAACAACACTCCTGGTGTGAGAAGGCAGTGAGTAGGACTTCCCTGTCAGAGGCTGTATACGCGCGGCCATGTGAGAAGGGGGAGGGCCCACCCGACTCTCGGCCATACCAGAACATCCGGGGACGCCCTAACTTATTAATGTCAATTTACAGTAAGAAATTTATATTCAAAGAATTATATCCAGTAAGTGATAGAGATTATTGTTCTATTTATAACTAACTTGTCAAGAAACATATTTAATTTTGTAGTCTCTTCATATTTTCATTTTTCCTGTTTCAAAAATTATTTTGATAAAATAAATAAGGATATAAAATAGAATATAACGATACCATGAACTCGTCTCAGTTATTATTTTGTCTTAAAGAGCAGAAAGACTACATTTTGTCCCCCCTCCACATACACACAACACACACCCATTCATATAATCTGTGGAATCTGAACGAATTACCTAGATATTGTCATTTAATCATAAATTTTTAATAAAGTCGAGTAATGACTAGTAGTTGAATGTATGATTAATGTTTCGTCCTATTTGGAATTCGTTAACCAGATTCATTCCAGTACTAATGTTGAACTTAATACCTTTTACTTCAAACTTAAATACATCATCAACTGAACTACTAAGTTCTATTAATCAATAGCTTATTCAATGAGTTACAAACTTTATTTCTGGTATTGTTGTGTCAAGAATTGTAATCTATCAATTACCATTGGCATAGATTTTTGAGGAATTTCAAAATATCTCATATCAAAGAGTTTAAAGTCTCAGAAAATGGATGAGCACACTCTGCTTAATTAACAATGAATAGAAGCTTTTTAGAAACATTAAAAACAAGCGTCACACTAATTGAATAATCGTCTATATTGTTGTTATATATGGCATGTTTTCAGAACTTTCTAGATAGTCAATATCACATGAAAGTCAATAAGTACACTCGATCCTCTGTACATACTTAGCATTGATACAAAGTACTTTCTCATTTTTTATGTGTTGGTTTTATTGTTCGAGTTGAAGCAGTAGTTTGGGGCTATAAGAAGAAGCTAGGAAGTCAGTAATAAACGTCCCTGGAGATAACGCGTTATTGTTTTTGGAGCAAAACATACTAAGTTCAAGTCTCATTATGATAATCGATACGCATGCATGTGTGTCCAACTGACAAGTTTCAAATATAAAAAAAGCATAAATATCCACTGTTAATCCGTTTAACTCATTTTCTTATGTATTTACCTTTACGTTTCTTTTTTTGCCCCCTTGTCCCCTTATAGTTACCTGAACGCACTCTTGTCAGTCGTGAAGCACGTTCAGCAATTAGTAAATCGGCTAGTTCTTTTATACTTTATGTAACATCATTAGCCAGTGTGCATTGTGAGAAATCAAAACGTAAAACGTTAACAGGAAGTGATATATTGGCTGCTTTAAAAGAAATGCAATTTGATCATTTTATACCAGCATTAAATGCATTTTTAGATAGTAAGTAAATATTTGATATTATAGGAGAATTTTTTCTGATTGTAGAACCTTCATAATTTATAAATCATAGACTGATCTTAGTTAGCCCGTTATTGAGAATTTGGGAGCACTGGACGAACGTTTCATCTCAGTATGAGACTATACTAGTGCGTATCCAGTTTTCTTAACAGTGTTAAAATCTTACTCAGAACGATAACCGCGAGTGTCTTTTCTCTAATGCATTTATCCTTCTGATCTTTGTTTTTTTCCAACTGCTTGTCATTGCTTTTGATTCTCTAGTTTTTTGTATGCGTTAAGGTCGTGTTTTCAGTATTACATATACAGAATTGTACCAATCCGTTCCGTACTTCTTATCATACGTCGAATATCAAGTTTTCGTACAATTCGTCTTCCCTGTGTGTTAGTCACTAGTCATTAATGTGTTGCATGTTAGTTGCCGTTGTCAATTCCAAAGAGAACTGGTCGTAATAGAGTAGCTCAATTGTTTCCGTAATTTCCCGAGTATTGTAGGTCCGTATTAAACCTCCAAATAATGGGACACAACAATGAGCTGCTTGGGATGTATTGCACATCTATAAACCATCATTGATCTTCATGCACCATAGTATACAGTATCTAAGTATGTTTGAAATGAAATCCCTAACTAAAAATACGTTACATTATATAACATTTATCTACTAAATAAACGGAGGACTGTTGGTATATATTGGGTACAATAGATTGAAAACGTTGATAGTAACCCCAGCTTTTCCTCCAATCAATAAGTTATTGTAATAATAACTTTAAAATCTGTTTATTTTAATTCGTTTTCTCGTATTCTTCAATCTGACAAACACATCAGGTCAGAATTACATACTTTCACTTAATATATAGATTGCTTACTTAATCTAATCATTGTTCGATGTTTACTGATGCATTAGTGGTCGATTATTTATTGGCAAATTCTGTTACTACTCAGTAATTATTAGTAATATATTTCACTGTTAGTAATAACCTTCTTTTCATTTTACCTGACTTTAGAATATCGTGAGCAGATAGTTTTTAAAAAATCAAATAAACGTCTACATAATGAGAATGAAGAAGAAATATCTTCTGAAAAACTGTCTCAAATTCCATCATCTTCAACATCACACCTAAAACATCTAGACAGTAATTTTACCACAGTTGAAGATGATGACAATGATGATATCGTTGGTGATGATGCTGATGAGGAAGAAATTGAAGAAGTGGAAGATGTAGATGTTATAGAGGTAGATAATGACGATGTCATTGGAATTACAGATACTCATATGGAAGAAGGTAACGTAAAAAATGACCAACTAGGTGTTGGTATTAGTGATGACGATGAAGATGACGGCAATTCTCAGAGCACAGAAGCTTTAAATGAAAATGAAGATTCATTTTAGTTTTCATTTTTGTTCTTTTTTGTACGCTTTTGTCAGTACTATGAAACACTATAAATTGAATTATACTAACGCATTTTTTCCTGGTATTTATATCAAGATATTTCAATATGCTGCATTTTTTTCTGTAAATTATTTATGTTAAACTCTTTTTTCTTTATTGTAACAATTTTAATAAAAAAGAAGCTTCTTTCAGATATTTTTACCAAATATATTTTAGATTTTTATACTTCCTTGTGTCCATCCAATAACTTTATATGTACATTCATTAGATTATCTAAAAACCACTAAATTTTGTACACTAGATGGTGTTGGAGATAGTCAACAGGAAACCTTAGACCCGGGTTTTGTGCTACTTGGCACTCGTCAGCAACGTGTACCTGTAATCTTGAGGAAACTGGTGCTCTCTGACGGATTTGATCCCGTGTCACTCAACTTCACAGTCAGACGTTACCATTAGGCTATCCGGACCGTGACCAACCTCCTGTAGGACTGAGATGTAATCACAATTGATTGATCACTGGGTGGCGATCAATGTCATGTGTGTCGATAGCATTCGATCTGCACTAAGAAGGACTTGACATAGTGATAAATCAATTGTAATTTCGTACACTGTTTCACTAACCTCCGATAAGGCCCTTTTTTACAGCTCGATAAATGATTTTTTTGTTCAAATTGACGATTCATGTGATTAATTTTGATGAAATATAGTGAATACAATATGTCACAACGGCTGTAGTATATCGTTTGAACTAAAGTAGTTATTCGTCTGTTGGCTATGAATTTTCTACCTTAGTACATTCTGATGATAAGATCCTCAAGTTCTATCTTCCGTAATCCAATGTAGATGACTGTATCTTTTTGTACAGATGAATGACTGATCAGTAAAAATCTAGTATATGAAAGATGAGCCAATCAAAACCGAATAAAAACTTAGGTCTATTAGAGATTCAAGACTGAATGAATTCAGTCTTTCATCACATGAAATGTTTGGTAAAATCAACTTTGTGTATTGCTTGCAACGTTTGGGAGTTAATGGAAAAAAATTCTTTATCTCATTTAGCAACAATTACAGTGTTCTATATACAGATAATACATAACAAACAGTAGATTAATTCTTATTTCAACTTACTTCGTTGGTAGTAAACCCTAAAAGAGATTATCGATTCGTTGAATTACATATGAGCGGGTGAACCAGATTGGCTAAAATAGATAACAATTTTAACGGGTAACCCTTATATATTGATATAACGACAAGAATGGTTTGGTTAGTGATAAATTCTCAATGTAAGTTTGTATGGTTATGCGAGATTCAGGAAAAAAACTATGAATGTGAATAAAATCACATTCAGAACAATCAGGTTATGCAGCGATATCTCCGCAATATCAACAACAAGAAACTTATAATAATCCTTTAAAAAACAAATTCTAATAGGTTTCATTATTTCTGTTGAGAAACAAGATTGACTTAGTATTGCTTACCTTCTGAATAACTAAAAGAGGACTTTAAATTTACCTGATCTTTTTAGAAATCGCCCAACTTATCTCCACTACCCTATACTACAACTTTTGAGTGTAATCCATGATCAAAAAGACGTTGAATGAATAATTAATTGGTCAAAATGAAGCCTACAATCAAATGTAAATGAAAAAAGTATTTGAGGGGAAACATTTAATATTGCTTAACTAAAATATAGTTATCCGTCTAAAGGTTTGAAGACAGATATATCCAGGTATACTAAATATGTAAAATTAGATTTTGTCATTCCGTTAACTGATTGACAGATCCGTTTGTGTGTCGTTGAACTTTTTTCTGGTCCATATATGTTTCCTGATCGAATTGTAGGATTAATGAGTCAGTTGTACCACGTATCCTGTATATCTTTGACCAATTACTTAAGCATCATAAGAACATATTTCTACTAATTGTGTGAATAGCTCTGATTCCAGCTTATTGTTATTCTGTTTATGAGTCTGCCTCTCTATTTTCCTTTCTTAGGCTAATACAACTTGTCTTGAAACACATTGGTATTTACTTGGTTCTAGAACTTTGAAGGAACGTTTATTGTTGTTAAATTCAAGATTAATACAAAGAGGATTGTAGCATTTAGAACAAATCAGATTGTATTATTTGAAAAGTACTTGTTTTTTACGAGGTGGAGTTGCTACTCTTATGCTCATCCCTCTTCTTTTACCTGGGTTTGGGACCGGTAGTAGCCTTAGAAGAGCTCCAGGCTGAGTTGTTTGAAAAGATATCAAAATTTTAATCCGAGATGACAGCATTTCAGAGTTCAGCATTGTTATTGGAGTATATATTACTCTATTATCAATATTGTAAGCACTAAGTGATGTTAGAAGAAGGACATATCTAGAACATCACATGAATTTCAGAATGAAATATGTCACATAGGACACAACAGTTAGGAACCAATATTTTCTCAGTAGGTGGTCTGAAACCTTATGTTACAGTTCACCAATAATCATTAACTACTAAAAAGAAGAAAACTGAAACTGAAAAGGTAATAACCTTTTATTTAAAATCCAATGGTCGATTTTATTTTAATGTCAAGCAGTACATGATACAGGATGAAAATTATATAATCCCGTCACAATTATTAGCAATCACTTCCAATATAATCATATCTCACCAGTTATCACTTCTCACGGAATTCGAAAGCTATGAACCTCTGCATCCCATTTCATTAGCTTAACTGAGTATCGTGCTCATAACGAGATATATAATTTCATTCAGCATAAAGAAAATTGAATCATGGTATTTAGTACTTTTTGAGTTTTCTGTAATTCCAAGAAGCAAAACACCACTGAAATTGAAATAACCTCCTCAAATCAAACAAATTTGAATACTATCAGAAAGGGTTTGTGGAGATTTTTAGAAATTTTCACAGATTGAAATCATGAGTCAGTTGAGGCTAGACCACCATTGAAAACCTGGGAGCACTGGACGGCCGTTTCGTCCTAGCGTGGGACTCCTCAGTAGTGCGCGTCCACAATCCCTCATCCCACGGGATTCGAACCCAGGACCTACTGGCTTCGCGCGCGAGCACTTAGCCATTAGACCACTGAGCCGGCATCCAACGGTGTTAATGTCTAACTTCAACCAATCCACGAAGTTGCGCCACCATATACCATTGTCTTCAGTGAGCTGATATCTCACAACAGACCTGGTTGAACTCCACTGGTAACCAGTAGGTCCTGGGTTCGAATCCCGTGGGATGAGGGATCGTGGATGCGCGCTGCTGAGGAGTCCCATACTAGGACGAAACGGCCGTCCAGTGCTTCCAGGTTTTCAATGGTGGTCTAGCTTCAACTGACTCATGATTTCAATCTGTGAAAATTTGAATACATTTCTTAAAAAAAGTTGTATTCATTCAACCCGATTAATATAATCTATGTATATGAATTAGGAGTTGAATGTGTGTATTGATCGATCGAGTTCAGTTTTTCAACCAATGGGTGGATGAGTGTTCAAAAGTGAGGACAAAAGTATTGATGAGTTTGATAGCCGATATCTGTGTGCATTTTTGATAATATATCGCTGTATGTGTGTGTCTGTATGCATTTTGCACTAACTTAAAGACAATGTGAAATATACTGGTTAATTTTGTTTTCTATAATTTACTGAAAAATATTTGAAATGTTAGATTGAACGGATTTAATTTGCTTATTACATTGATTCTAAATAAGTTTCTTCTTGATTTGCTTTAACAGTTAAAGACTACATTTAGAGACAGTTTTATAAAATGATGACACTTTACATAGACAACTATTGGGAACTTCGAATTTAACGACTGTTGATTGTCTCAATGTAGAAGAGAGGATAAAAAAATCCTTTCAAGATAATCACAAAGTAATTATCAGTATGCGATTATGGAGATCATGAAGTTTTTGATTGAGATCAAGAACCAATCGATGTTATACCACCATTAGGTATTCGCGTGCGAGGCTGAAAGCTCTGGGTTCGAATCCTGCTGGCGGGATAGTGGATGTGCACTTCTGAGGAGTCTCACAATGGGACGAAGCGGCCGTCCAGTGCTTCCAGGTTTTCAATGGTGGTCTAACATCAATCGGTTCATGATCTCAAACAAAGTAATTAGTCGAACAGATATTGCGTCTAAAATGTTACCCTCAACAATCATTCTACGTTCGATTGGATTTTTGTGGGATTTTGTTCTTTGAGCTGGATTGCTTGGTCGTGGAGCTGTCATTGTTCTTCTGAACGATATCATCAGCACAAACAACAAATAAAAGTGAAATGTCCGATTTCTGTACAGATAACTGACTGCTTGTCCTGTCGACCTCGATCATAATTGATTATTGTTGACCTTTAACCTGTCATTTTCTACTTCTTTAATTTGATTGCGTCTCCCTTTGTTAGAGTTCTTGATCCTATATTTATACATGATTTTTCTGATTGATTGACAGATTGGATTGATTTCAATGTGTTTGTTGATCGCTGACTGACCTGAATGCCCTCTATAGAAGAGGTACTTAAAACACCAGAGAATTTTTAGAAAATTGGCACTCCATTTACTACTTCTGCTATAGCTGAACCATTACTTACTGTAATGAAATCTTTGGCAAGGCAAAGAATGTATCATGTTATGTAGATTTATTTTGACGGATATAATGTGCATTGTTACATTACATTATCTCTTATATCTCCCCCAAATGCCCTGGTACGGCCGAGAGTGGGAAGAGTCCGCTCTCCCTCTCGAAATACTCTCACATGGCCACGCGTATACAGCCTCTGACAGGGAAGTCCTACTCACTGCCTTCTCACACCAGGAGTGTTGTTTACGAAAATGAGAGGATGAAAATCGAATGTCCGGAGCTTTAACCGGATCACAAACCAATGGTGCACATGGGCTCCAGGATCCTGAGGGAACAAATGGCGTATGAACCAATTGTTGGTCACTGGTTACCATGGGACTGCATCTCCTTACGATGCTCCACTGCCTTGCGGGTTAGACCTTTAGGTCAAA